AAGTCTTCAGGCAAACCCCTTCTCCATTCCTCCATGTCAAAGCACAGATCGCTTTGAAGAATATGTATCCCTTTGTCGTATATCGATGACTCCTCCATATTAGAACACAAAATGCTTTGAAAAATCTGTGTCTCTTTGTCGGATTTTGATCCGGATGGAAGTGTTCCAAGAGGCATGGTTCTATGTGCCACATTGTCCATATTCATCAGGTTTTCAGGCAGTCCGGGTATCCGTTCCTCCATGTTTGTACCTGCAGTGCCCCCAAGAAACTGTGTGTGGTGGTATATCGTAGATTCCGGTCCAGAACTCATGGTCCTAGATTCTGCAATGTCAATCACGGGGTCTTCAGGCAAACCGCTTCTCCAATCGTCCATGCCACAACATACATTGCCTAAGTCAATCACGGGGTCTTCAGGCAAACTGCTTCTCCAATCCTCCATGCCGCAACACCCATTGCCTAGAAGAATATGTCTGTACTGGTTGTAGATGGATGATTCAGCTTCCAAACTGATAGGCAACGGCGATGTTCCAAGAGGGATGGTTGCAGATTCCAAGTTGTGAAGCATCAGGTCCTCAGGGAAACCAGCCACATTGTCAATCTCAAACATCAGGTCTTCAGGATCAAAACAAAGATTGCTATCAAGGGTGTCTGCCACCTCCCCATAAATTGGTACCAAACCAGTTATCAGGTTTTCTATATGCTCACAGCCATCTAACCGAGGCCTTTTTTGCCTGCTGCTGTTGATATGTTCATCCTCGTTCTGCTGGTTTTGGCAAACAGGTGCCACAGTTGGTGTGTGATCCAGCCTTTTAATCCTGCATAGTACATAATCCTGAGGAGAAGAGATACTGTATTCTTTCATGAGCCATCGACCATGTTGGGTCGATCCTAGATTCTCGTACCTTAAACTTCTCTTGTATCCAATAACTTTTCCTTCACGGTTTTGAATGGGTTTGCCTTTGTCTTGACCTTTCCACGAACCCTTCCCCTTCCCAACCGTGCGAGCAAATCGTTTCCCCTTGGCCGTCTTCTTCTTCAGCTCTGTGAAGAAGTAACGGCACTTCTCTTCGCTATTCCCAAATATCTCCCATGACTCCATGTCTCCATAAAGATCATCTATGGTCACAAAACGTTCGTATAAGGATGGATTGTGGCTGATCATATAGCCAAGTATATAAGTCAATTCTTGGTCAGTGGGGTGGAATCTCAAACCCACCAAAGATGCTGCCATCTCTGTTGATTCCATCAGGTTAATTTTCTGGCGTTTCTGGTTGTTTTCACAGCAAGAAAAGAAAAGAAAACGTGAGAACCAAACTGTTTGACTGAGAAAAGTGTGAAGTATAATGGAGAGTGATAAAGTAGGATCAACTGCAGTGCAGTGGTGTACGTGTATATATACAAGTAAGGGTCTATCTCAATTCTCAAACTCTAAGTATTGGATTAGGAGTAAGATATATATAGTTGTGTGCATTACAAAGTCTGTTAAAAATTTAAGGCTGCTGGAAAGTTTTTTCATTGCAATGTGATATCAAGTGGTGTGTGATTGGCTGGCTACACAGAATTGCAAATTCAATACAATAATATCTTCTTTGTGTTTGATATAGAGTAGGATACTAATATAATACTTTTTCTACTATTCTACTTTCTCCGTTCATTGAAATTTTTACGATTGACTGCGAAATTGCTACTCTAATATAATTACTGAAGTTCTTTTTTAGTAGCTATGTTTCTTACATTTTTTCGTTGTACTTATCTCCCGTAACAACTTTTAATTCATTTACCCTTTTTCTCCATTGATCACTTAAACCCATACTACCCATACCCATTTCCATTAAAATGAAATCCCATTTTAAATTGAATTAACAATTACTTTAAGTGTTTTTAATTAATTTTTTTTTAAAAAAAAAAATAAATTGAGCATATTTCTTCAATTTTATTTGATTGATAGTGTAATATGAGAATCTCAATATTTCCAACTATAAACTGCGAAGGTATAAATCATTTTAAGATATAAAATGTCATACGTTCCTACAAATAAGATAACATTGGACATATTTCATTCTTTTCGAACTCACAATGATAAAAAACTCATGGTGCAGGAGTTAAAGTACATGAAGGAGATTTTGTTGCATCAAACGGAGAAGATCAAGCATGAGCTTTGCCCAAATGATTTTGAGTTATGCCTGGGTGAAACTGTTCAACCCACTTCGTAATTAAGTTAGTTCAACCCACTTAATAATTAAGTTAGTACAAACTTGAGTATGCATAAAACAGAGTATTCGTTCTTACACGACTATGTACATATATATAATTTACATCTCTAAACCAATTACTCGGGATTGACAACAGGGCCGGCCCAACAAGGGAGGCAAAAAAGCGTGGGCTAGAGGCCCCAGTTATGTCATACTTCTATGTTCATAATATAGTTGTGATCCAAACTCTAAATCTATAATAATCTAAATCAATACCAAAAGAGCCTTATAAAGCTTACGCCCAATAAAAAAAAATTCTATGTTTAATGGTCTAGACCCATCTGGGCATCTAATTGAACATCCGAATAATTCTGTTTAAGTGATGTATTACATTATATATAAAGAACATTATATTGGGCATTTAAATAATAAGTTTAATTTTGAACTTTCGAGTATAACTGACCCACAAAATAAGGGGTAATATAAAAATTATAATTTTTTATTAGGATAAAATTATATTGTTTAACAGTTATATTAACAGATATAAACGACAAGAGATTATGTGTTACATGTGCACAAATGTCAGGAGGTGTAAGAGTAATAATCTAAATGTGAGGGGGTCCAAATGATTAAATGACAAGTATGAGAGGATCTAGATATAATTTATCCATTTAATTTTATACAACAAACTGACGACGGTTAGTTTTAAGTGTGCATTGATAGAAATTTTTATTATTGAGGGTACAAATTGAGATTTTTGATATTTAAGGATGTAAATTATGATTCGAACAATCTTTCGAGATGCAATTTACGATTAATCCTGATGTCTTAAGCCTTTGTTAAATACCAACTAAGAAATCTACATGCTCAAAAATAACTCAAATCTACCCACAAAAATTAACCCACTACCTCATATCTCTCTCTCTCTCTCTCCGGTCAGAATACTGTTAAAAATTAGTATTTGATACCTTATGTCCTAGAGCAATTCAAAAAACCTAGTCGAGTCATGATCCACGTGATAGAAGATCTCGTTTCAATTATTCAATGCATGAGAAGAATCATGTAGTTTTTTCTACATACGAGATTTAATGCTAAATATTCAAAATGAGTTTCAGTGTTAAACAAAAAATGAACCTGTTACAATATAAATTAAACATATAGAAGGTACATGATTTAGAGTACAGAAAATCTCAAGATATCATTTTCATAGTGACCTTCCACAATTGATCAAACTTGTTCATAAATAAAAAACACTTAAAAAATAGAATGTTAGTGCAAGCCTAACTCAAAGAAAAACATAAATTATATGAAAAGGACAATAACCTATAACCAAATAAAAAATGTAAGTAAAGAATGAGAAAGGACTAAACTAGTATTACTATTGCTTTATGATTGAAATTTTATGGGATTGAATATTTGACTATTAGTTGTCTACGTAGCCATAAAATGAAAAGACGAAATAATTCAAATTCCATTTGATTAATTAATATATAAAATGAACTTTATAATGGCCATTTTTTGATGGTTATCGATGGCATAATAGTGGTATTAATGATAATCTATTATTTTTATAAAGTAAAGATGATTAATAGATTTATTGTAAACAAAAAGTTTATGAGAAGTAAATGAAAGAGAGACAGCGTCATTAACTCAGAAAATAAAAAAAATATATAATATATGGAACAATAATTATTGTGAAAACATAAGTATATGAAGAGTCATTTAATTAATATTAGGTAATTAAATAAATAAAGATATACATGTCTTTAATATTTTTTATAGAATTTTTCACTTAACTTAATATTTGGGGTCCTAGGCGGAAGTTGCAAAAATGGACCCTTCACAACTTAATATAAGATTTGAATAATATAACTATACTTTCATTTAAAATTCATTAATTTTGTACTTTTGCATGTAAAATTACTGCTTAATTTAATCTTAATTTCACATTTCTAGTTTTTGATAAATGATAACAAGTCATTTGAACGTATAACATGGCAAATTTAATCTATCTCTTGTGATAAAAAGATAGTACTTTTATCATGTTTTACAAAATTCCCAACATAAAGATAGTATTTTGTTGAAATTTCACCGTCAATTAATTCTGATGTTTTTCTAATTAAATAAAAAAACCTAACAAATCTTCATGTAATTTATAAAGTATATTTTGAATTAAAGAAATACTTTGGTTTATTCTATTTACTTGTGTATATAATTAGTTCTAAGATTATTTGAGTTGTTGTGCAACAAAAAAAAATGATGGGAATAATGAAAAGGAGGCTAAGAGAACACGTCGTTGATTTTTCTTTTTTTTTAAATGGTCAAGGGTATCCGAATCTATTTATGTGCATTTCGACTAATTTCATCCAGGTTCGGTCAAAAATAAACCACCCACATCGGGACTAAGGGTTTAAAATGAAGATGGTGTTGAAAATGGTCATAGTTTAAAAGTCTCAACTCTTACTCCATATCCTCTACAACAGAGGATCTCAAGTGACCAACGGAGACAAAGGCTAAATGAATTAGGAGTCATATTGTAGTTGTAACACGTCAACTAATCCTACTACACTATACTAATCGTACTCAAACACATTAATAAGTTTGGAATAAATGTGCATGTATGCTCTCTACCACAGCCATTGTTGATTATACAGTACAATTACTCACGTTTTCTTTCTATATAATATCCAAGAAAACACAAGAAAAAGATAGAAAACTAAAAAAGTAAGAAACAGAACTACTGAAAAAGAACTTCAGTCATTGTATTAGAGTAGCAATTTTGCAGCTAATTATAAAAATTTCAATGGATGGAGGAAGTAGGATAGTAGAGAAAGTATTATAGTAGTATCTTACTCTATTTCAAACACAGAGAAGGATATTATTGCATTGAAGTTGCAATTCTGTGTAGCCAGCCAATCACACACCACTTGATATCACATTGCAATGAAAAAACTTTCCAGCAGCCTTAAATTTTTAAGAGACTTTGTAATGCACACAACTATATATATCTTACTCCTAATCCAATACTTAGAGTTTGAGAATTGAGATAGACCCTTACTTGTATATATACACGTACACCACTGCACTGCAGTTGATCCTACTTTATCACTCTCCATTATACTTCTCACTTTTCTCAGTCAAACAGTTTGGTTCTCACGTTTTCTTTTATTTTCTTGCTGTGAAAACAACCAGAAACGCCAGAAAATTAACCTGATGGAATCAACAGAGATGGCAGCATCTTTGGTGGGTTTGAGATTCCACCCCACTGACCAAGAATTGACTTATATACTTGGCTATATGATCAGCCACAATCCATCCTTATACGAACGTTTTGTGACCATAGATGATCTTTATGGAGACATGGAGCCATGGGAGATATTTGGGAATAGCGAAGAGAAGTGCCGTTACTTCTTCACGGAGCTGAAGAAGAAGACGGCCAAGGGGAAACGATTTGCTCGCACGGTTGGGAAGGGGAAGGGTTCGTGGAAAGGTCAAGACAAAGGCAAACCCATTCAAAACCGTGAAGGAAAAGTTATTGGATACAAGAGAAGTTTAAGGTACGAGAATCTAGGATCTACACAACATGGTCGATGGCTCATGAAAGAATACAGTCTCTCTTCTCCTCAGGATTATGTACTATGCAGGATTAAAAGGCTGGATCACACACCAACTGTGGCACCTGTTTGCCAAAACCAGCAGAACGAGGATGAACATATCAACAGCAGCAGGCAAAAAAGGCCTCGGTTAGATGGCTGTGAGCATATAGAAAACCTGATAACTGGTTTGGTACCAATTTATGGGGAGGTAGCAGACACCCTTGATAGCAATCTTTGTTCTGATCCTGAAGACCTGATGTTTGAGATTGACAATGTGGATGGTTTCCCTGAGGACCTGATGCTTCACAACTTGGAATCTGCAACCATCCCTCTTGGAACATCGCCATTGCCTATCAGTTTGGAAGCTGAATCATCCATCCACAACCAGTACAGACATTCTTCTAGGCAATGGGTGTTGCGGCATGGAGGATTGGAGAAGCAGTTTGCCTGAAGACCCCGTGATTGACTTGGGCAATGTATGTTGTGGCATGGAGGATTGGAGAAGCGGTTTGCCTGAAGACCCCGTGATTGACATTGCAGAATCTAGGACCATGAGTTCTGGACCGGAATCTACGATATACCACCACACACAGTTTCTTGGGGGCACTGCAGGTACAAACATGGAGGAACGGATACCCGGACTGCCTGAAAACCTGTGGAATATGGACAATGTGGCATATAGAACCATGCCTCTTGGAACACTTCCATCCGGATCAAAATCCGACAAAGAGACACAGATTTTTCAAAGCATTGTGTGTTCTAATATGGAGGAGTCATCGATATACGACAAAGGGATACATATTCTTCAAAGCGATCTGTGCTTTGACATGGAGGAATGGAGAAGGGGTTTGCCTGAAGACTTGATGAGTGATAATTTGGAATCCAGAAACATAGCTCTTGGAACATTGCCGTTGACACTCAATCTCGGAGTGGAGTCATGATGTATGATGAAGACACACACAATCTTCAGAGCAATATGTGTTCAGACTTAGAGGGGATGTTTACCTACTGTGCATGAAGACCTGAGACAATTAACAGCTACTTTAAATTCATGGACTAGTTTCCATTTTTATGTATTTTTAACTCAAGATTCTATTATGGTTAAAACTTGGGACATAGTTTCTATTATGGTTTGTAGAACTAGCAGCTTTAAATTGATGAACTAGGTAGTTTATGTGACAGTTGCATTACCTATTATGTAACCACGGTATTCCTCCGCCACAAGTGAGGGTGATTTAATAAATTTCGGAGATACCGTCCTCCTTCTCTAAAAAAATAAATAAATAAATTTATATGATTTTGAGTCATGGTGCCTACTTTTAAAGTTCTTTTAAGTCATGGTGCCTACTGTTGAAGTTCTTTGAGTCATGCATAATAATACTTTTGCAAGGGTGGGAGGGGCTTTCTCCTCTCTGCTGCATGGGTGGAAGTAAGTTCAGCTACAGAGTTAAGAGGTTTATATCTCCATTAGCGTTCTGCTGCCTTCAACTCTGAATCTTTTGGAGCAGGATTTTCTAATAATTTAGTCTCCATAGTCAGTTCCCACAACAACAACTCAATTACCCACACCTTAAACCACCCATGAGATTGAAAAATTATGTACTGATAGTTTCGTTGGGATTGAATTTTATTGATCTGCATTGATTAACCATTTAGATTAGGTTAATTCTACAAGAGGTTTTGTAATTAAATGGATTTTCATTGTGAACTCTAATTTCAAACCATCTCTGTGACTTGATTTACACATCAGAGTGTTGGCCAGTGCAAAACAATTCATTTATATGTCCTGCATATATTGACCAAAAAAATATATGTATGTGCTGCATAAAGCATTCCTCATTGATTCACAAGTGCTCTGCGGACCATTACTTATTTTTCTTCAGAACACATCCCCATTTTATTGTTGCTTGGTTGAGTTCAAAGGATTCGAGGTATCTTATAATCAGTTTATTTAGGAGTAGTGGTCGATCTAGAAAACCATTAGAAAGCTACACTAATCCATCCTTATACGAACGTTTTGTGACCATAGATGATCTTTATGGAGACATGGAGCCATGGGAGATATTTGGGAATAGCGAAGAGAAGTGCCGTTACTTCTTCACAGAGCTGAAGAAGAAGACGGCCAAGGGGAAACGATTTGCTCGCACGGTTGGGAAGGGGAAGGGTTCGTGGAAAGGTCAAAACAAAGGCAAACCCATTCAAAACCGTGAAGGAAAAGTTATCGGATACAAGAGAAGTTTAAGGTACGAGAATGTAGGATCGATCCAACATGGTCGATGGCTCATGAAAGAATACAGTCTCTCTTCTCCTCAGGATTATGTACTATGCCGGATTAAAAGACTGGATCACACACCAACTGTGGCAGCTGTTTGTCAAAACCAGCAGAATGAGGATGAACATATCAACAGCAGCAGGCAAAAAAGGTCTCGGTTAGATGGCAGTGAACATATAGAAAACCTGATAACTAGTTTGGTACCAATTTATGGGGAGGTAGCAGACACCCTTGATAGCAATCTTTGTTTTGATCCTGAAGACCTGATGATTGAGATTGACAATGTGGATAGTTTCCCCGAGGACCTGATGCTTCACAACTTGGAATCTGCAACCTTCCCTCTTGGAACATTGCCATTGCCTATCAGTTCGGAAGCTGAATCATCCATCTACAACCAGACAGATTCTTCTAGGCAATGGGTGTTGAGGCATGGAGGATTGGAGAAGCAGTTTGCCTGAAGAACCCGTGATTAACATAGAGAATGTGCATTGTGGCATGGAGGATTGGAGAAGGAGTTTGCATGAAGACCCCGTGATTGACATAGGCAATGTGTGTAGTGGCATGGAGGATTGGAGAAGCGGTTTGCCCTGGGCGGCTCAAGCCAATTTGAAGCATAAAGTGAAAAAAAAATAATGTGTTAATATTGTCGAAGGAGAGTGTTTAATTTTAATTTTAATTTTAATTTTTGTTTTTTTTAACTAGAGACAGAGAGAAAGTGGATAAGAGAAAATGAGTTGATTTTTGAGTATTTTTTTTTATTTTTTTAATTCTAAGTTTTAATGTTATGGATTGGATTATAGACCCAAATTATTATAATAAAAATTTTGATTGAATTTTATTTTTTAGGACTTTTTTATAGGACTTAAAATTTAATAGATTTAATTTTTTTTGTAGGTTAACAATATACTTAAAATTATAGGAGCTTCTAAAAATTTAGGGCATAAAGCCTATGCTTTTTTTTTTTCATACTGTTGGGCGGCCCTAGGTTTGCCCGATGACCCCGTGATTGACATTGCAGAATCTATGAGTTCTGGATTGAAATCTACAATATACAACCACACACAGGTTCTTGGGAGCACAGAGGTATAACACAAGGCCGGCTCAACAGTAGAGCCCAAAAAACCTGAACTTTAGGCCCCACATATAAAAAAGACCCAAAAATTTAAGGGGTCAATAATAAAATATAGATCAAATATTATAATTTAGCTTTAAAAAAAAACTCTTAAAAGATTATGTCAAAAAAATAAAATTTAAAATTTACATCCAAAAATATAGTCCACAATTATTAAAGAGCAAAAAAAGGTTAACACTTCGATAAAAAAGTATAATAAGTATCTCTCTCCACAGTTGCTACCACCACCACTCTATGCACATCATTGTTGCTACCACCCTTTACCATCACCTCTGTCACCTGCTACCACAAATTCGATTAACGTAATTAATTTTTCGTGTGACCTAAATGATCTAAGGCAAGATTTAATCATTTTTAATTTTGTGATACAATTGTTATACATAATGTCAATAATATATTGTAATTTATTCATGTATTTGAAAAAGAATCTAATATTCCTATATTTCAATACCTCAATTCGAAAAATGTGTGTGAGAGAGGGGGAGGGTTTTAGTAGTTTGATCTATACTACTAATAAAAAAAAGTTAAACGAAAATTTTTGACCGAATATTATATCCCTATCAAAAAGATAAAAGACATCTAGATCCTTATGTATTTAATTATTCAATATTAATTAAATATGCAAATAACCCTTTATATACTTCTATTTCCACATCAATATTTATATCTATATCTCTACCATTACTACTATAAATTATAAGATATAGTTCAAAACTTTTGATTTCCTTTTATTTAATATTTATCGTGATTGTCTTAGCGCTAACGTTTTTGCCCATTCACCTATTTAATTATTAATTGTATTGATGATTGAAACATCAATTTTTTTTGGGGGGGTCAAATGTGACTATTCCCTAGGTTTTTGGACTTAGCCTTAACATTTTTTTTGTTAGAACTTTGACTTTTATGAGGCTTTCTTGTGTGACTTAAACTTTTACAGGCCTAGAATTTTAATCTACATGTACATATTCTATGTATAACCAATTATCATTTCCTTTTCCTTGACTCAGGATGAGATGAAAAGATGAGAAGTTCCTAAGTCAATTTAATGTTTCATAAATCATACTGATGCTTTTGAAGAAGATGCACGTGAACACATAAGATCTTTAATTAATGAGACATGGAAGAAAATGAATAATAATTGAATTGCAAAATTCCTATTTTCTCATACTTTTATTGGAATGGCAGTGAACATACTAAGGGTGTCCCAGTGCATGTAGCAGCATAGAGATGGGCATGCCTCCCAAAGTAGCGAGAAAAGATGGCACATTAGCAGTACTCATTAAACCCATTCCCCTTGTGGAAACAGGTTAAAACATTGAAAGTGTTTGTTAACTGAGGTATTGTTTCATAAAACTAAAAATTGAATGCAGAAGTTGAAGCGGTGAATACTGAATTTTATACTTTATCATATCAGAAGTTAGATATAGTATCGTAAATTGAAATAAGTCAACTCATCTTCGGGCGAGTGAAATCATTTGGGATTAGCTCATGCTTAATCTTCTTCATTTGATGCGATAAAACCTCCTTCAAGAACTTAACTCTTTCGACACGAGATTTTTATCATTGTGAGTCGAAAAGAATGAGGCAGTGGACATAATGGTATTTGATAGTGCTCAAAATTATTATGCCCAAGTGTAGAACAGTGACTATGTGAGGCTTAGTAGAGACTTTGTCAATATTGGCTCAATAAGAAAGTAAGCGTTGATATTGGATCAAATAATAAAATATAAGTGATTCACCTTAGATGAAAGACTAAGGTTATATCTACTGTAATAAAGGCTCTTCACCTTGAGATTTGTATTGTTTAAAGTAGAAGATACACCTTGAGATTTTGTTTGTCAAGGGCCCAAAAGTTATCCCCTGAACACATGGCATGATGAGAGTGGCTTGGGATTTATCGCCTACCGAGCTCTTAATTCCTGAGCTGGTCTATTCCGCCAAACTTAAGATGACCGAGCAGGCATATACCGATCTAGATGTCATTGAACTTTCTTCCTTGGGTTGTGGCCCACTCTTATGACGGAGCGGGCATGCTGTGAATGAGTCGTTTAAGTTGTCATATAACCAGGGACCTACCGGGTGTTTTGGGCTTTGAATGGACAGCCTAAGCCGAAATCCACCATCATCAATATTCAAGTACTGTCTCGTTTGGTCGTTTTCAATCTCGACTACACTCTCTGGCCTTTTTACTTGTAAACCAATTATGATATGCATAATTTGTTCCCCTCTCCTTATCCATGCTTTTTTTTCCTTTTCTTTTTGCATATTAGAGAAGAATATATTGCAAAATTTGTTAGTTTTAATATGGTTGAACAAAAAACTAGTCGTAAATCCACTGAGTTCATTTTTCTATAGTCACAGAAATTCTAGATTGAACCAATGCATCATGCACTTGGTGTACTGATAACGATACGTTGTTGGGAAGATTTTTATCCAAAAAAAATCGTAAAAAGCAAAATGGTTGTGGCAAACCAAATCTAATTAACATGTAATGGGTGTTTGAAATCTCAATCATTTTGCAGATTTGGTGGCAAACC